TAGTGGAGAAATTTGCCTACTCTCAACTGTATAGGGAGCATACGTAACTGTTTTCCTATCGAACACATAGTTGAAATGCTATATAAAACAAAGTTTTAGCTCTTATTGCAGAAGAAGATACATTTGCAATATGAATGTGTCAGTCTGGTCAGTAGTGAGCCTTGTGATACTAGTAAAATAGAAATAGGATGATCAAACTTCGTCAAAATTATTTAGATATCACAGTTTTTTATGCTGAACTCACATAAAATAGTTTTAGCGAATAATATGCAGTGCAAGTTGGAATAATCTTTGATTTCCCAGAGCAATAACTTTTTTTTGTGTTTGCTGAGACGTGTTGTTTTAGTTTTTCATTTCTTGTTGAAAACTCGATCTGTAAAATAAAAAGATACGTACTCATAATCAGCGTCGTAAGATTCATTCATTCGTATATTATTCAACGAAATATAATGTTTTTGCTCAGTTTCTTCATTAATGAAATCTAATTACTAATACAGAGAAATGTTTACACTTATAAAAGATGCTCATTTTCTCTATTTTTCTTCTTTATGTTTCGTCAGTTGCTTTTTGTCTTTGCTATTTCGTAGTTAATATTAGTAATATTTCAACTTTTATTTTGCAACTTGTCAAGTGACGACATAATATGAAGCTAAACTTAATTGAAAGGATTTTTATTTATTGTATTCAAAACATATTTCAGCTGTACGTAACACTTTTATGAATGTCCCAGTGATACTTGATCGGTTTCACTTCATTTTTTCGCCCATCACTTCTACCTAAAATATAAATAGAGAATAAAAAATGAGCCACTGACTATCGTTATTGGCAATAGTTTTTCGTATGTTTTTTTTTTGAATCTATTATTATCAGATCATTTGATACTGATCGTTTCATAATTGATGAATCTATGTTTAAGAAGAAAATCAATTACGGTGTCGACTTGTTTTCTTAGCTATACATTGAACTTGATAACAAGTACAACAAAAACCAAATGTTATTGTTGGTAAACTGTTATATATATAGATAGCATTCTTGAATAAGTAATCTACTGAGAAAATTTTTTTTTATTATTTAAGACATTCTATATTTTAAACTGGAGTTGGCACATATTTTCTTTTATTTGATTCTTTTACAGATGGCAAAATTATAACCATGAAATAGTTATTTATATAAAAGATTATATTAGGTTTTCTTCTCGAAATCTAGTGGTATTATATATTAAATCTTCAATGATAATAGACTTAACCTATAATGAAAGTAGGTACAAAAGATCAATTCTTGATTACAGATAAAACATGTTGAATATCTTGTTTAATTTGAACAACTCTAGGATGTGTAGCGGATAATATTTGATGATAGACACTCGCTGCTTCTTCTAAATATGTCAATGCTTGTCTCCATTGCTTATCATGTTTATAGAGATAACCAATATTTTCAAGTGTTAATCCATAGTCAATATTTTGTGAATGGAACGCTGTTCGATAAATTTCCAGTGCTCGTTTAAAATTTTCTAAAGCCAGATCAAAATCATCCAGACATTCATGAACTAATCCAATATTATTATATAACTCAGCTACATCCGAATGATTTGTCCCATGATATTCCTGCTTAATCTTCAAAGCCTTTTCAAGACATTCCAGTGCATCATTATTATTTTCTGTTGCATTATGAACAACAGCCATATTAATAAGGCACATAGCAACTTTTAAATGATTTTCATCAGGTGCTCGGGTCCAAATACTTAAAGCTTTTTGATATGCTTCAAGTGCTTGTTTATAATCTTCTTTTTTTCGATAAATATTACCAATACTATTATAACATTTTGCAATATTTAAATCATCTGAATTCATTGTCTCCATCATGATTTTAAGTGATTTTTCATACCATTTAATACTATGTTCATAATTGTTTCTACCTGAATAAACTCGACCAAGATGATAATAACATAAACCAGTTTGTTTATGATCATTTAAAAATTCAGTAAGTAAACGTCGATAATATTTTTCTGCGTCATCATATTTTTTCATTTGATGTAAGATATTTCCAAGACTAAAAATAGTGTTTTGTTGATCGATATATTCTCTTTTTATTTGATTAATTCGAGATTTTAGATCACTATCTTGATCACTACATAACGATAAATGACACACCCAAATATTGTCTTCATTTAAAATAATATTATTTAAACGAAATATAGCTCCTAACATTATTAATACTTCACATTCATTAGGAAAGTAACTTTTTGATGATATATCAGCAAATAATTTAATACCAACATGATCTGGATTAGCATCAATTTCAAATAATACTCTTTGTAAATCATTATGAATTGAATTTACATCTCCCAAACAAAAAATTGCATAATTTTTGTCTCGAGTTGTTGAAAAAAAAGAATTGATTGATATATAATCTCCAATAGAATTTTCCAGTTCTTTTACTTCATCTTTTGACATTAATTGTCCACGATAAGTTTGAATCGCTTGTAAACATTGGTTTATTTCAAGTTGTCTTTGTATGTCATAAATAAAAAATCGAAAGATAAAAAGTAAATCAATGTTTTGTACTCGAAGAGCTTTATTTAATAAACGATACAGAAATGTATCTCGAGTATACCACCATAATGCTCGATCCGATCTATATTCGTCTTGAAATTCTTTTATAATCGATAATTGTGAATTATTGTTTTTATATAATTCAAAACATCGAGAAATTAATTCGTCTTTATCTCTTACTGTAGGTTTCATTTGAAGAAGTGAATCGAGAAATAAGTTATGATGAACAAATTTAAGATTTAATGCTGTTGTGGATTGATCAGGATTGTTACGTGTAGTAAATATATGTATAGGAAGTGGGTCATCGACTTTATCATGCATATGTCTTTCTTGATCGGATTTAAGCTTTTTTACCAGTTCATCCAAATTAGTGAACACACCTTTAATCTAAAACCGATCAAATCAACAGTGTTACTTCTATTTCGTGATTTCAAATATTTTCTAAAAAAAATTAATAACTCCTCAGATATTTTATCGTTTTTTTCATAGAGAAATTTTAGTTCTATTGTTGGATGACAAAAACATAATAATTATCTTCAGATATTGTAACTCTGAACATGAGTATAACATATTTCGTATGTCATGAAAAGGAGAATTTAGTTTCAATTAGAAGTTGTTTGCACATATTCATAGTTATATATTATTTCTATAAGACTCAATAAGATGACAATCAATTATTTACCTTAATAAATGCTTTAGGCCATATTTCATTTTTCTTTTTATCCATACAAAATATATAAATTGAAGTAATTTGTCGAAAATCATGAATGTATGGTACGAACTCTTTACCCACTTTTCCACTTGTGATCAAAACCACTCGATCATCTCTGGATAAATGTTGAATATAGTTTTTACATTCTTCAATATTATCAAAGTCTTTTATGTGATTTATGGCCGATCGAAGTTCTTGTTGAATTCTTATATTTTCTTGTAGTTCAGTTAATCTACTATCAAGCCAAATAAGAGTTGTTGTTTCAAAGTTTTCATTATCTGATAATGATGTATAGAAACTATCAATAGAATTTGATACAGTCATCGTTTCTAAGTATCTTATAATATGATTGTTCTCTTTTTTTCGTTTGACTACATATGTATTCACTCAATCGTAACGGTTTTTATTTATTTTGAAGCATGCAATATCGAAAGCAAGAATATTTTTTTGATTTTACTGTCTCTATATCATTTAGATACTTGGTTAGGGATACACTGATTTTATTGATGAAATGAGTAATGACACAAAAAATAAATCCTGTTCAAGTTTTTTTTACTGTTCCAAGAAATTTATTTATGTTGAATGCAATTGCTGAGAAGAAAAAGTTTAGGAAAAACAATCTTTTTCTTTTAATCCTATTACAAATTTCGCGATAGACAATTAAGAATTATGATGAACTAAACATCATTGTTGAGACATATTGATCAATAGTAAAATACAAACACTCGATAAATCAATTTAAAATTAAGATAATAAGCAATATGAATAACATTCGTATTTTTATCATATATATATATATAACTCAAACAGCTTTCTATAAATTTCAATTAAAAGAAAATAATTCAATAAGATTTAGTAGTGACATAGAATTATCATTTACTTCATGTTTATTGTAAAAAAAAAACATTAAATATAGTGATAATTTCTGTAACATCTACAGTATAGCCATGACAAGGTGTTGATTCTCGACCAATAGAAATTACTATCCAAGCCTCTCTTGGATCGTATGATATGTACGAAAAAATAACCTATATTTGTTTGAAATCATCAATCAACGTTTATAATAAATACTTTTAACATCATAAGATAGGTCATTATTTGTGTAAATCTAATTTCTGTCGTGAAAGAAATAATAGTAACCAATCATCGATTGCCAAAAGTACAAGCACTGATCATATTTTCTACATTATCCTATTTAGCAAGGCATGTCTAAAGAGCATCTATTTCATTTTTGTAATAATACTACGTATGATATCTTTGTTTTCTTTCGAGATTTTAAATGCATCTTTTTCTCTCCCGATATCAGAAAAAGGTATAATTAAAGCTATGATTTTTCTCTATTAATCATTACTTCTATTGTTTATCCAGAAACAAAAAATTTTTACTTATATGATCGATTTATTTTCAGATCATCATGAAATCATTGGTACTCATTGGGTTAGTATTCATTGTCTATGTTGCAACAACAACAACATTTGGAGCTGATGATAAAGTGAATTTTCATTAACTTTTAGATTTATGTATTTATTTTTTGTTTAATTTTGTTATTTGTAATATTGTAGCTTTATGTAACAAAAAAAGTTTATTTTGATATTGAAATTGGTGGTAAAAAAGAAGGTCGTATTGTTATTGGTTTATTTGGAGATGTTGTACCAAAAACAGCGGAAAATTTTGCACAATTAGCAGCTGGTACTAAAGGATTCGGATATAAAGGTTCAAAATTCCATCGTGTCATCAAAAGCTTTATGATTCAAGGTGGTGATTTTGATCGTGGTGATGGTACTGGTGGCAAGAGGTAAAATTAATAATATTTAATCAAAAAAAAAATTCCATCATTTTTCTTTAATAATCTAGTATCTATGGTGCTAAATTTCCTGATGAAAACTTCAAATTGCAACATTATGGTGCTGGATGGCTTTCAATGGCTAATGCAGGTATGAATAAATAAAGAAATCATTTCATATAAGTTTAATATTAATTTTTTAGGTAAGGATACCAATGGTAGTCAATTTTTTATTACTACAGTTAAAACTGAATGGCTTAATGGTCGACATGTTGTCTTTGGCAAAATCCTTGAAGGTAATATTTCTTTTTTGCTTAGATAAATTTTTACTTGTTTTTCTCAAAAAAAAAACTAGGTATGTCTCTTGTACACAAAATTGAAAATACCAAAACAGGTCCAAATGATCGTCCAGTATCAGATGTTGTTATCGCTGATTGTGGAGTTATTGAAGTACCAGATAAAATTGCCGTCGATAGAAAACCAGTTGATGCTAAAATTTAGAAAAAAGAAACTATTTCATTGTTAACATATTTGTTATTCATCATTAGTTTATTATATATGATAAACTTTCTTTTTATTCTCTTTATTCTGTTTGTCGTTGGTATTAACACAATTTTTATTCAAATATATCCTATAAAAAAAAATCGATTTCTTTTTTCGTTCTCTTCTTTTTCTTTTCATCTTGTTTTTTTTTTTTTTATAAATGATGATTCAATGTAGATGATGCAATGTAGCATAATATCTCGTAAAAATATACTGAGTACCATTTTCGAAAAATGAGTTTTATTAGAAGAGTATTTCGGGTAGGTCTTAATGACCATCTTAATAAATTTCTCGTATTTTTTATCTAGACTATTATTTTTCACTCGTTGTGTGTATCAAAAATGGACGAATCAACGAAAACGAAACGTAATCGTGCAGAGAAAAAAAACAAACAACCACAACAACAAATAAAAGAATCAGAGATTACAAACAATGATAATCATGAGAACACTATTCATGAACATTCTCAAGAACAAAAGGTTTATTTGTTGTTGTGCTATATCTCTATTGCTGAATCATCTGCATGTGCGCTTTAAATAACTTATTCACTTGATCGCTTATTTTATTTTATTTATTTAATATGATTAATGTTTATATTATTTCAGAAAATACATGAATCAAATATATCAACAGAAATTCCTTTAACAATAACAATGACTTCTATTCCTAACCGTTCAATGTCTACTGCTTCATCCGTAGCTTCATCAGCAAGTAATCAAAATTCTTTCAATTCAAATAAAAAACAACAAGTCACAAAAAACAAACTTGCAATATCAGAAGACAAAACTGGTTTAGAAACGAGTTCTATCAATGATATTTCAGAAATCAGTTAGTAGAAATTTATTAGTCTTCTAAAAAAAACTAATTTATTTTATATATTTTGAAGCCGAACGTGTTGCTAATACAAAGATTCAACAAAATCCTAAAGGTCCACCGACATCGATCCAACCAAAACCTCAATTATCTCGTGCTGAACGACGTGCTACCCAAGTCATTAATTTATTTATATAAAAGTTTTTCATCATTAGTTATTATTTATTTTTTAGGAAGCTCAAAGAGCTGCTAAACAATCAAAACAGAAACCAGGTACACCTACTTTAAAACCTAATGAAACACAACAAGCTTCAGCAAATATAAAAAAGACAAACACTGATCAATTTGCGACATCAACTTTATCAACACATTTATCAAGTAAAATATTTTTTTCTACTTGAGTTGAATAACTTGTCCATAGCATTGAAGATGCAAAAGTTTCAGTTATCCTCTGCATGATTTTTATTTTTTAAAAATGTAAGAATGTTGTTCTATTTAATGGATATTTTCTTCTTATTTTAAGCATCTCATCGGCCTCAATCTGAAGCTGGTGAGTCGACAATATCAGTTACTTCAAAATCAACAAGACCAGCAACCACCACTACAACTACTATTGCTACTACTACTACTACTGTACCTTCAAATCAATCTCAACAAAAACGTCAACAGAAGTCTGATGATGCACGTGTAACACTTTTTGCTCATCTTATGATATATACACGTAATCTTGAACGACTTCCAATTACATCGTAAGAACACAAGAACACTTTTTTATTTGTTCATCGAATTGAATTCTAGTGAATCAAAATCAGTACATCCAGCTATTATTAAATTAGGTTTACAATATGCAACAAGACAGATAGTTGGTTCTAATTTACGATGTGTAGCCTTTCTTGTTGCTATTCAAAAAGTAATAAATATTTTTTTTTTAAATATTTTTATCAATTTTTTCTTTTGTTGTTTGAAATCATAGATGCTTGAAGATTATGAAGGTCCACCAGGTTCAAATAATTTATCAACACTTGATCCTGTGGATCTAAATACAAAATTAAAAATAAATATTAGGTAAATAAAATCTTAATTTCTTTCTTTTTTATTTTAATTTTAGTCAATTTCATTTAGTTTTCTTACAAAATGTCGTCCAAATGCTGTAACTATGGGTACAGCTATACGTTATTTAAAAACTCATATTGAACGTATACCACGTAATATAACTAATGAAAAAGCTAAAGAATTACTTAGTGATGTTATTAAAAGTTTTTTACGAGAAAAAATTGAATTAGCTGGTATAGCTATTGCTGAAACGTATGCTATTACAAAAATTACTAATGGAGATGTTATTCTTATATTTGGATAGTAAGTTGAACAATAACAAATTTCATTGATTTTCTTTTTTTTTCTATTAAATTGAAAATGTTTAGCTCATCATTAATTATGCGTATTTTGGAAACAGCTATTAATCGTGGAATTAATTTTCGAGTAATTATTGTTGATTCACGTCCGCAACAACATGGTAAAATTTATTTCAAGAAACTTTATTTATCTATTTGAATCAATATTATTTAGGTCTTAAATCTGCTCGAAGATTATTAGCATTGAATGTTAAATGTACTTATGTACTCATTAATGCTGTACCATTTATTATATCAGAAGTTTGTATTTTTTTTAAAGACTTATTTTGTTCATTAAATTGAATATACTTCATATAAAGGTAACAAAAGTATTATTAGGAGCACATGGTTTATTAGGTAATGGTTATGTCATGAGTCAAGTTGGTACAGCACAAATATCTCTTATTGCTAAAACACATAACGTACCTGTACTTGTTTGTTGTGAAACATATAAATTTTGTGAACGTGTTCAAACTGATAGTTTTGTTTTTAATGAACTTGGTATAGTATTAATTTATTAGAATTTAAACAAAAATTACTTTTTTTTAATATTTTCATAATTCAGGTGATCCAAACGATTTAACTGCTAATCATTCACTTCTTCATGCAGCTATGTCATCTTCATCATCAACAACAGCAAATTCAAATTCATCCAATTCAAATTTAAATATTCTTAATATGACATATGACGTTACACCCCCGACATTTATAAGTGCTGTTATTACTGAATTAGGTATATTGCCATGTACATCAGTAGCTGTTGTTATTCGTATGCAAAATAAACAATTAGATGA